TTAGCGTGCGTATATCGAGTTATGGATGCACGCGGGAAGTTTGGAGAGCACGAAAGATGCGTAAGGGTTGCACGAGGCGATAGCCAAGTGCAACTCTAGCTTCTTTAGTGCTCTCCAAACTTCCCAAGTGCATCCATAACTCGATATACGCACAGCTAAAAGCATGAGCAAATTCTTTTATAACATAGCTGTCAAAAATGCTTGCTTTTCGATTAACTACAAAATTCTCGTAACGCGCGACACAATAACAAACGCTTCTATTGGCTGATTACAAACACGCCACAATGGTTTAGTTTGAATGGAAATTCTTTCTGTAAAACTGAGAAAGAAAATTTGCTTATTTATTCGTTAACTATCAATGAAAACTACATAACAGGCCAGAACCCAGATTTTAAGTACTAGGCGACTTTGAAAGACGCGTGCTTCACATATTTGTGGCGGATTAGAATGCCGGCTTGGTTAGAGGCCCTTTGTTTAAAACATGGCGGGATACTCGCAGCTTAAGGCAAGCATGTGCCTTGTAGCTGTCAACATAATGCTTTTTAATTACATTCTGTCATAATTAACAAAACCCGATCCATGTTTGATTGAAAGTAATTGTACAAATCAGGTACCAGACAAACCGCTTTTAAAAAACAAAACAACAAAACTAGTTTATGGTTATTTCTCATTAATTTCACTTATCAAAACAAATATTTACTTTTATCAGTTTTCCCGTTTCTTTCAAAACGTTCTTCATTTCCGGGCGTTTCACTGTAGTCAATGAAAGACACGTTTTATCGGTCGTCTTTTACGAGGGAACATCAAAATTTCCATCTTTCAAAACGCGATGAACCAAAGCTTGCAGGGTACCAAAGCGCCAAAGGCGCACGATGCAGTCCCGGTGTTTTGTGAGCACCCGTTAAGAATATTGAACGCCAAAACTATCAAGTTTTGGTACAGCGAGAGGCAGCTAGTTTCTGTATCCAAAGGTTAGTGCATGGACAGGCTATCGAAAGAAAATAAAAGGGATGCTTGCCCAATGGATAGTAGGCCTAACTACGCAAATAAATGTCTCATTGCATCCTTGTCTGCGAGGTTAGTACTAAATTTACACTCTAGAATACATTACACAACTCAATCCGCAACACTTTGCAAGTAGAATTGGCGATCAGTGTGGGCAATTTATATTTCTGAGGGACGTCCGTCCCACAAAGGCTTAACGCGGGGGGGTTTTTAGTCAATGACTGACATAAGAGTTTCCTCACAATCAGCCCAGTTAGAGTGCGATAATGTGCGCGTGAACTTTGCCTACAACTGGCAATAAGCTGAATAAACCGGAAGCTGAACACCATGAATAAGTTACTAAATTATATCGCTCAGGTTTTTTTTTCTTTTTTTTCAAGTACCGGAGGGGTTTTTGGCGCATTCTGTTGCGCAGTTTGGCAGTGATATACCGAGCATCAGACAGGTAACGCGCCGAAGCCACCATTTTACTCTTCTTCTACCAAACAGTTTTCCTGCAATGGTGTTAGTACTGGTCCCGTTGCCGAAACCTTGCACGAGCAAGATACGGTAATCGAGAGTCGAGAATCGAGAATCAATATTGTACTCGGCACAAGAAAAGGTCGCCGTCCAAGGAACAACTGATGCAATGCAAGAGCTTCAAGCTGCTGAGAATCGCCAATTCTGGATTACAAGCAGTGAAGAAACTCATGGGGAGCGTCCAAATTATAAAGGAACTTTGGAGGCCAGTCAGCCACGGCGATTGTCGCACCACGCAAAAACTAGAATAAATTTGTTAGCCTAGTCTTGTCTTTGCCACAAATCACGTAAAACTATAAAGAAGGTACCACTATGAACTCTGGAAAATGAAAATTCAATAATACTATGGTTGACGACTGACAGTTTAAAAGAGAGACAACCTTCACCTCAGAATCTTGGGCGCGCCGCCTGTAAGCTCTGAGGGAGAGGGAAGCCCCATAATTTGGCCTATTTAAAAAAAAAATGACACTACAAAAATAACCTACAATTATAATTTCAAAAGGGAGACTACCATCACCTCAGAATCTTGGGCGCGCCGCCTGTAAGCTCTGAGGGAGAGGGTAGCCCCATAATTTGGCCTATTTCGAAACAAATGGCAGTACAAAGATGACCTACAATAATAATTTGGATAATGACCGACATTTCAAAAGAGAGACTACCATCACCTCAGAATCTTGGACGCGCCGCCTGTAAGCTCTGAGGGAGAGGGTAGCCCCATAATTAATTTGGCCTATTTCAAAAATAAATGACACTACAAAAATTACCTACAATAATAATTTGGATAAATGACCGACATTTTAAAAAAGAGACTACCATCACCTCAGAATCTTGGGCGCGCCGCCTGTAAGCTCTGAGGGAGAGGGTAGCCCCATAATTTGGCCTATTTCGAAACAAATGGCAGTACAAAGATGACCTACAACAATTATTTGGATTATGACCGACATTTCAAAAGAAAGACTACCTTCACCTCAGAATC